TATACAAATCTTCCATCGCAGATAAACGGTTCCTCAAGACAGAATCCAAATTTCTTCCCTGTTCATCAGATAGAATTAAAATTTTTTTGGCAATCACTCTTGATGTGAGCTTTTCCATGTCAACTTGAAAGGGAGCTCTACTTTCATTAAGGTTTTCTGGTTGGCATTGAATCGAACATTGAATGGATTTATCACAAACAGACTTTTTTGCAATTGAAGTCAGATGATTCAATTCTTCTTGTAATCTAAAGCAAGATAGTTTACTTTCTTGTATATCACGAAAATAAACTCCGTTTTCTGTCTCTAAAGTTTCAATACTAGTTAACAGGTTGTTCTTCAATGCATTCACGTGATTCAGTTCTTTTTCAAGAGACTTCACATTATCCTCCAACTGCCTTATTTGTTTAAGAAGATCATTGTTTTGGCGAAAGAGCAGCGCAGTCACCAGAGAATGTGCTCTATCGTCTCGACTTCTTGATTACAAGCCCTACACAAGGATGTGGTACTGAGATGCAACGTAAATAAATGTTTGTTTAACTGACAATGGCCAGTCAAGATGCCCGTTATTAGGCGTAGCCGTTTCCTGGTCAACGACAGCTTCTGATGGCTCGCTAATGCAGCTTAGCAATTTCTTGAATAAGTTGCAGCCAATTGTATCGTCCCAGCGCTTTTTGAAAAGGGCATGGGAGCGTTTTTTTATCATATACACTGTGTCCGTATAGTAACGGATAAATTCATTGTTTTGAAAAATCGCTCAGACACGTCAATTTTGTTTTTTTGTTTGAAATTTTTTGATATATTTTTCATTATACAGGGTGTCTCAAAAATAGCTCCGCTGCTATCAACTTTGTTTTTTCAAATGGATCAACCTGTATATTATGACATTTATAATGAAAAATATATCAAAAAATTTCAAACAAAAAAACAAAATTGACGTGTCTGAGCGATTTTTCAAAAATTCTACCGTTTTCAAAATAATGAATTTATCCGTTACTTTACGGACACTCTGTATATCTCTGGCCGCCGACATGGTCAGCCCTACGAAGGGCTCCGGTCCAGAAGGCTGTAGCCTGGCGGCCCTTCTAGCTAGAGCATCGGCAGCCCGATTGCCTTTGCTGTGATCATTTCCTTTGATCCAGCTGACCACCACCGTGTTGTTGATCGACGCTTCGGTGACTGTACGGTGGCAATGTTGTACTACGTTTGACGTGAGTGTGCAGTCCGTGTGGATTTGCACGATCTTGTCAGTGATATTGTTACTGACTATTTGTTCGGAGCCAAGGGCTATAGCTAGGTTCAGTTTGAGAGCTTCGTATACTCTGCATCCTGAGCTTATTTGAGCTTTGGAACGATCAGTGTAGATGTTACTTACCTCTGCCACTGTGTTGTTTCCAATGCCTTTCGTGTTGATTGCGAAATCCTTTTTAAAGACGAAACTGGTGTTGCAGAGTCCACTCTGGCCTCCAACAATGGAAGCGAGTTCGTTGCCTTACGCCATATGCGGGCTCTCTGCAAACCGATTTCTGCACTTAATTTTATTCCCACAGTGCGGAAGCACATCATTTTGGTTAAAACCACCTCCTTGACATAAGTATCCAGGGGCGTCAAACATAGAATTACTTCCGAAGCCCTAGTTGGTGTGGTTTTCATTGCATCAGTTATGTTAAGGAATGTCATTCTTTGAATGTGGTCTAGTTCTCGGCTTATAGTAGTCTGTTCAGCCCTTAGACAATAGCCCCATAGATAAGCATAGGCCTGATGATGGTTGTACAGATCTGCATAACTACCTTGGGAAAGAACCCCCAAGTCCCGATAGTACGTCTACACTGTTCATAGGCGATGTATGCTTTCTGTATTATCTCAGCAATATGAGAAATTCATGTTAGTTTGCAATCGAGTGTCACTCCCAGATATTTGACTTTGGAGGCAAACTCAGTTCGGTGTTTAAGAGTCTGGGTGCTGTCAGAAGTATCAGTTACAAAATGCAATATCATAGCATAGATTATCATGCTACCTACTAGAATTATTCAATTTAATTCAACCAACGGTGAATTAATGACTTAACAATGGTATTTTAGTTGAAAATCCTCTGCATCTTTATTTAACAGAATGAATTGAAACGCGAAACAACAGTTTTGTACGTATTTTGTGTCCTCAAGTCTGAGTTGACTTTGCACTTCAGACTCATTGTTTACGATTGTATATCAATCAGTAATTTGTTGGAACGTATCATTTATAGAAGCCTTTGCAATTGTAATTATCGCATAATTTTGTTTTTGTCTGGATTTGAAAACAATTAAAAAATAAAAAAACTTACATAATATAAATTAAAATTAAAAAATTTAAGTATCAAGCTTGAATTGCTGCTATATTTTTAAGGCATATCTGCTTTCAAGCCACTTTAGAAATGTATCTCGTAATCTTATTTAATGTTAAAAACATTTGTTCTGTGTTTACATGAATCCGTAAATATGATTTTAAATCCAAACAACTGCCTCGTAAACAATACATTGTGGTATATTTATCAACCACATTCAAATCAAAACCTCAAGTACTTACATAACTATTGTTGCTTCTTCCAGGAATGATAATGATTTTATTAATTGTATTCTCAAGATATTTTTCTTCTGATGAAGAGAAAAATTACTATTAAGGTTTCTTATACAAGGCATACTTGGTTTGATATTTACTAAAGCTTGGGGACTGACTACCTGCTGCCACGCGTCTTAATTATCCAATCAAACAGTCACAGCTTTTATATTATTTATTTTTATACTAATTTTACATTATCCTTATCTTTTTTAGAACAAAACCTTTCATTTTCTATTGGTTGGGTGAAAAACAATACAGTTTGCCGACCTTGTGTTAGGTATCTACCGCTCAAGTTAAGTGAAAGATCATTCGAATCCCCTTTTCTTTTGTTAACAAAGTAATTTATTTGAACATTCAAAGGATTCATTAAAATAGTTTATCGTTAATCAAGGATAATTATTTCTAGTTTACAACAAGCACAATGTTAAACTTTGACGAACCATAAAGCGATACTTCACCAATTTAATATTATGGCAAGGCAAGGTTTCAAGGGTGCGACTATGCGTAACAATTTAGAGTAGGTATTATACAGGGTGTTCCGAAATTAATGCACCAAATTGTTATGGCATATTCCACGTCGAAAATAAACCTCAGTTACCTATATAAACATATATCCGGAAACGCTCGCTTTCGGAGATACCGGGTGTTGAAATTCTAAGAAAAAAACTATGTTTTTATCATAAGTTTCAAACCACTCTAGATATTTCATTGAAATTTTGTACACTGCTTTCAAGCAGCAAATAGCTATTTATACAATAAGTTACGAAATGAGCGTCTTTTAGGCACGCGACGTGAAAATTGTCCAACGAGGCAAAGCCGAGTTGGACAACACGTCGAGTGACTAAAAGACATCGTTTCGTAACGTATTGTATACAAGATTTTTTCTACTGGCATTTTATAATAAAAAAACACAATTTTATTTCATGTGAATAAGTCGATTACACCCAAAATCTTTGTTACCTGCTTTTACTTGACACCTGACACTTTTCATGCGATTTTCTTTTCAAAATTCGCCATCAATAATTAAAATCCTAGAAAGTAGGTAATAACACAAACTTCTGTTTTGAGTAACCCAAACGTTCAATTCAGTAATTCCATTTTCAATATTCATAATAAATACAAAACAAAATTCAAATATGTGTTTAGTGTGTTTTTTATTTCTGAATAATGAATGACACTTTTAGGCACTAGTGCTTAAAAATTACTTTTACGCACTCATAAGTCACTTTTACGCATTCAAAAGTCACTTTTACGCACTGAGTGCCTAAAAGTAACTTTCACGCACTCAGTGCCTAAAAGAATGTCGTTTCAAAACTGAAATGACAATCGAAAAGTTGCTATTATGAAACGTCAGTAGAAAAAGACATTTTTTGATGTGAAAATATTTTTTTAAAAAATTACCAGTGGCGTCCTACCAGATTTGTAAGAAATATTTTTTAGGAAAAAAATGGTGCGTCACTGCTTTTTCCCAAAATAAAAATCACTTTTGAAATCCCCATTCAATTTGGAACAAATTTGATCTCTTCACTTTTTTCAAAAGATGCACAGTTTTAAAGTAAAAAAATGAAAAACCATTTTGATTCATGGCGAAATCGCCAAAATTATGATAACAATGTTAAACATTAAACACCTAAAGTTTCGAATTAGTTTTTTGACGTCACTGGTATTTTTTTAAAAAATATTTCACTTCAGAAAATGTCTTTTGCTGCTTGAAAGCAGTGTACAAAATTTCAAAGTGGTATGAATTATGATAAAAAAATAGTTTTTTTCTTAGAATTTCAACACCCTGTATCTCGGAAAGGAAGCGTTTCCGGACATATGTTTATATAGGTAACTAGGGCTTATTTTCGACGTAGAATATACCATAAAAATTGGGTGCATTAATTTCGGAACACCCTGTATAGGTACCTACTCCGATCCTATAAAACAATTAATTTTTATTACCTACCTTTTATTAATAAATTTATAAACAACTCAATTTATGAATTAAATTTGAGAAATCTTAAAACAGCTTTTTCCTAGCAAAGGAAATTCCCTATCGACAACTAAAAGCTACGGATTTGTTGCGTGAAAAGCTCGCGATTATTATCGATTGATATAGAGGAATCTAATAGTAGGGCACAACAGAACAAAAATTTCCGGAGAATATTCACCCCATAGGTATTTGAATTTTCTTTAGCTATGTTGTTAAATCGTTCTATCTACAGTTAGTAGTTGCTCGCCATGACGGATCATTGGTGGGTTTTTGTGCCAAAAGTTGGACATGATGTCGCCATACCAGAAAATTTAGCAGATATATTAGGCAGGGTATTAACATTACATTTCATGTTTAATTGTTAGTGATATCGGGAAAAAATTCAATTTATTTGTATCGGTATATTTGTATAGGTGTACTTCTTCTTTTTCAGGGTCTGGCATTTTCCTTTGAAGAACGACAAGCCCTTGGCATCCATGGACTTTTACCTCCTCGTGTTTACACTCAAGAAGACCAAATGCAACATTGCAAAATTTGCTTCGACAGACTTGATGACCCTCTTAACAAGTACCTATTTTTAATGGGCTTATTGGTAAGGGAAAATTACATTAACCAAAATAACTATTTAACCGATATTGAACAATTTTAGGATAGAAATGAAAAACTGTTCTATAAATTCGCCAGAGAATATGTGCAAGAGATAATGCCTGTAGTTTATACTCCAATCGTCGGTCTGGCGTGCCAAAATTTTGGACTTGTATATAGGAGACCTAGAGGTCTATTTATAACCATTTACGATAAAGGCCATGTTTATGAAGTAATCAAAAACTGGTAAGTATACCATTTTCTTAGATGTATATGGACATTACATTTGTTTCAAATTTCTAGGCCAGAAAGTGATGTCAGAGTAATTGTTGTAACTGACGGAGAACGTATTCTTGGTCTTGGTGATTTAGGTGCCTGCGGTATGGGCATTCCTATTGGAAAGCTCTCGCTCTATACGGCTTTGGCCGGCATCAAGCCACACCAATGTCTGCCAATCACAATCGACGTTGGGACCAATAATCAAAAGTTTTTAAATGATCCTTTGTATATTGGATTGAAGCAGGAAAGAGTTAGAGGTGCGTATTCTGTGATGTTCAATAGGTTCACAGCAAAAAGAGCCATCTATCAGAAAAAAGCTCTTTCCAGTCTCCATAATTTCATATTTATTTCACTTAATTTTGGATTGCATGGTTTCTGTCTTCTCTGAATTCTGATAAAGGGTTTTTATTCGGGCTCAATCGCCATCGTAATTTGGAATTTCTTCCTGACGTTTCGCTAGCACGCGTGGCTAGCATCTTCAGAGGTGTTTCAATGTACGATTCTGGTAGCAGACTGACGTAACGCATTCCCGACCACAAGTTGTATTTATCTGTGAGTGGTTGTGGTGTGGGAGGGGCAGAGCTTTGCAGCACGTGGTTAATCTGAACTTTCCCTGTACTCCATGGGATCTTCCTTGCATTTTTGAGGATCAGGTTCCAAATTTGAGTAAGTTTCAGTATTTCTTCTTTCCTGTTCTCCGTATGTTTGTAGATTTATAGAGCTTCCACGTACAAGACGATGGTGGTATCCGAAAGTGGGTGCTAGAAGCTTGACCTCACCAAATATTATGTCGTGATTTCCTTTATTAAGCGCATGTTCTGCTACTGCCGATTTTCCCGATTGCCGTAGTCTGCAGTTTCTTTTGTGCTCGTTGCGATGATGTCAATTTTGTTCCAATCCTTTGCCTGTACGTTGTTGCTGATCAGCATCAGCGTCAGATATAAGTGTAGTAGTTCTACTTCAGCCAGATCCTTCCTTGTTTTGTGGATTCGCTCTCGGAGAAATGCTCTTTCAGTTCTGGAGTAGATGTGATGTGCTTGGGGTGTCTTAAAAGAGCGCTTAATCTGCAAGAACGCTGGTACGATGTTAGTGTCCCGGCAGCAACAGAGAAACGTTAGATTCACTAATAGGTGTGCCTTGCGTCGTCTAACTTTGTATAGTCGATGGTGCTGTTTAGTGATCTCCTCCCCGTAGAGGTGTCTGATAAAGTTTGTGAGGCTTTCGCGGCTCAGGTTTATTGATAAAGTGTTTTCATCCAGGCTTAATGCTTAAGGCCTTCCTAGACGTACTGATAAAGAAGTCTGGAGGAAAACTAAGTCATACAGTGTACCGAAAACCGACACACAAAGACAGGTACATGGATGCACTCTCAAACCACCAACCAAGGCAAAAACGTGGCATTAGAATAACGCTAACAGAACGTGCTAGGAACATTGCGAGCCACAACATCTCGAGCAACTGGATCACCTCAAGTGGGCCTTTCTATCAAATGGATACAATGCATCTGAAATCGACAGGGCGATGCGACCCATAACGGCCACACGACAGAACGTGGATGAACAACCAGTAGCCAGTGGTGGCTAAAGGCCGTATCAGACGTGCCGTTGTCGATTCCGTTAGCCGTTGCCATTGCTGTCGCGGTTGCAATCACACTTGACACCGTTCCGTTACCGATTACTGGTCGCTTGAAATGTTTATAACGTCAAAATGTCACAGCTAAAATATTCAAAGTACAGCGCCGAACGTCGTCGGGAAGTTTCTTCTGCGTTGATGTGCTATATGATTACATTGGAAGAAGAGGAAAGAGAAAGATCCAAACAAAATCGGTTTGGGTGCAGTACCAGAAGCGATAAATTGCAAAACTAAAAAAGTGACGTTTAGACACATGACAAATATATGCTTTTCATAAAACACTTTCATTGGCTACGGTTCAGAACGGCCTCGTAAAATTTAGACCCCAACCTAAACGTACAACGGCAATCGCAACCAGAAGCAGGTACATTTTGATTGGTCCAATTCACAATCGTAATCGTTAATAGTAATCGGCAACGGCACGTCTGATACGGCCTTAATGCATATCTGCCTTTCATTTTTCGGGTGACAGACAGGATAGCGAAAGTCTTGAAGAAACACAACATAAAAACGATCTGCATGTCAACAAGGAAAATACAGCAATCAAACAGATCAGTCAAGGATAAGAGGAACCCACTGTCAAGCGCTGGAGTCTATCGTATACCAAGAGGAACCCACTGTCAAGCGCTGGAGTCTATCGTATACCATGCACATGTGGTAAGGTACCTATACACAGGAACAACAAAAAGAATCATGCAAACCAGGATCAAAGAGCACAAAAGAAACTGCAGACTAGGATAATCGGAAAAATCGGCAGTATCGGAACATGCGCTTAGTGAAGGGAATCACAATATACTATTTGGTGAGGTCAGGGACGTCCCGAAGAATTTTTTTTGGGGGGGGTGACGTAGGTAAAATCTCCCAACTGGTCTTTCTCAAAAATCCCAACTAGCAGGCGCGTAGCCAAAAAATTCAGATAAGGGGAGTTTTTCGCTATTGAAATTAGGAAACATTGCATGACCATAAAGGTGGCAGAAAAAAAAAACCGCCGCAGGCGAAAATTTTGTTGAATTTCAAGGTCAAATGCTTTACATAAAAAGAATAAAATTTTGAGGGTCAAAAAGTCGGTATATGCTAAAACATGGGTTTTGTAAGGTAAATTTCTAGAGTTTTTAGTATAATGTCCCAATATGTCCTTCGTGACATCACATTTTAGGTAGGAAAATTCGTTGTAAATGAGTCAATTTGCAGGACGCACGGACCCCTCGCCCCCCTTTCGGAACGCTACTGGTAAAATCAACATGTTTCCTAAAAAAATAAAAGTCAAAAGCATGTATTTCTTTGAGATTCTTAGTATTTGTATTATAATTTTTAATTTCTAATAATTTCCAGAAGTGGTTTCTTCTTATACTTTCTTCATCCCCCAAAACCCCTCCCGTAATAGCGTTTTTTTAAAGCTGTTTTCATATTTTTATCATTTGTTGAAATCTTTTTTCCTCGTCAACTTTTATGTTTTCAAGTGTACCGATTCTCCCGACTTGTATCCGATATCCCAACTATCCCAACTGGTTGAACTGGTTGGGGGGAACGTCCCCCCCCCCATTCCCCCCATACTTGCGTCCCTGGGTGAGGTCCAAGCATCTTGCACCGACTTCCGGTTACCACAATCGTCTTGTACGTGCAGCTATAAAAATCCACAAACATACGGAGAACTTCAACAGGAAAGAAGAAACATTAATACTTAACCAAATTTGGAACCCGATCCTCAAAAATGCAAGAAAGATCCCATTGAGTTCAGAGAAGGTTCAGATTAGCCACGTGCTGCGTGATGCAACATCCGGAGGAAACACCGGTGTTGTAGTTTATCAGTTATGACGCAATTAAATCACATGAGTACCTATAGTGATTTCCGGTTAAATGCGTCCTAATTTTATAATTTTTTATTGACTTTTTTTTTTAATCGGATTTTCGCAAGAGTCTATTAATTGGGGACATCGAACTCTGACATCCGGTCGCTTATCGCTTGTGTTGGAATTTTTTTTTTAATGTAATTTGAGTTGAGCTTAGAAATTTCGTCATTTTTTATTTAAACTATTTTTATCCGGAATTGAATGCTGGATTGCTAGGAGATTTAAGGCCGCGTTAATGGCCGCCATGTTTAAACTGTGATTGGTTGATTTTTCGAAACTTATTTTAAGGTCTTTAAAAAAACGGCACATCAGAATTAGCTCAAATTTGGCATAAACATTATTTGATCGATTATCTAAAATTCCTTATTTTGGTTTTTCGATATTCAGCCTTTTTTTTTTAATTCAAAAATCATGTTCGCAACCACCAAAACAATTAAATGTGTTGGTGGTTGCATATTTGCATGTTTATCAAGCTTGGATTCGTGAAAAGCATATTTTATTGATAACCACGAAAAACTAATAAAAGCCAATTGTAGAGATTGTAGATAATATATCAAATAATGTTTATGCCAAAGGATTTTGGAAATTATTGCGGATTTTTTGAGATGACCTTAAAACGAATTTTGAAGGTGAAAACAGTTCAAGCAATTTCAAGTAGATGGCGCCACGGCAAAAATGCTACATTAGGTGCTGGTACTTTTGCTGTCATTTGACAGCCGTTAAAAATAATCAGGGCTTAGAATGTGCTCTAACCACATCATACTTATAGACCTTGGCCCATGCAAAACTTTGACAACGTATCAAATTCGTTAATCGAGAGCAAAAGTACCGGCCCTAGGAGCATCATAATCGTATATTTGTCTTTCTCTGTCACTAAGCGTTTCACCGACAAACAGATTTTGTTTTGGACAAAAAATAAAAAATTGAACCGTATGTGTAGAGTGACGCAGTCGTCATTTTCAAAAACTAAATTTAAACATGGCGGCCATCAACGCGGCCTTAATAAGTTGAGACTAAATTATCTTGCAACTGACGTAGGTACTGTTCTAATTAAAATGACTACAAAAATGCTTTTACCAATTGAGTTTAGTTATATTTTCTGGGATTTTAGCACCTCGAAATTTTTGGGGTCGCCACACTATGGTCCTGCTTCATCCTGCTTCAAACCGCAACCCAGCAACACCCACCGTTCTCGAAATATATAAATAACTTCACCTTTGGCAACACATTGGACGCAGGATCGCTGAAACAGGTTCCTGCTTGTGCTGCTATAGTCCTGCATCATTCTGCTTCAAATCTGACCCCGGCAAAACGTACTATTTTCGGGACACAGCGATTTTTGTTTTGGTTGCTAACTTCACCCTTGGCAACACACTAGAAGCAGGTGCTCCTTGTGTTGCTATAGTTCTGCCTCATCCTGCTTTAAATCACACCCCGGCAACACGTACAATTTTCGAGATACAGGGTTTTCATTATGGTTCGTAACTTCACCCTTGGCTTGGCACCACACTGGAAGCAGAATCGCTGACATGTTCCTGCTTGTGTTGCTATGGTCCTGCCTCATTCTGCTTTAGTTTTCTCTAAATGTTGGTATTTTAGACGAAAAAAGCTAATCTAAACTAACCCGTCCCTCTGTAATGATGGCCAGCCTCTGTGTCTTGGAATTTTAGATAAGAGCTAATCCAAGAATTGAATTGAAACTAACCCGTCCTGGGATAGGTGGCCTCCCTGCGCTTCTGTAGTTTGTTTATTTTTCTTTTTTTCTTTAAGATTATTAAGAGGATGGGTTAGTTTCAATTTAATTTTTGGATTAGATCTTTCCGTTTAAAATATACCTCCATGCAAAGACTAGCATACATATTGAAGACAGCTCTTTTCGTCTAAATTACCAACATATATCCTGTTCACAATCCGATGTCCACAGGTGCAGGTAAATTTATCACCTTTCCCTATCAAATAGCATTAAAAGGTGATTTTACCTGTACCTATTTGTGAACATCGGATTGTGAACGGATAATACACAGAATAGCATTCACTATTAGGTGTTGCTGTGGTGATTGAAGCAGCTTGAGGCAGGACTATAGCAATGCAAGCAGGAAAATTTTGGAGCGATCCTTTCAATGTGTTGCCAAGCCAAGGGTAAAGTTACCAACCATAATGGAAATCCCTTTATCTCGAAAATAGTGAGTGTTACCGGAGTGTGATTTGAAGCAGGATGAGAGAGGACCATAGCAACACAAGCAGGAACATGTTTGAGCGATCCTGCTTCGAATGTGTTGCTAACTTCCCTGACATCATACGTTATACTATCATTACACTTTCTGGCAGTGCGATCTATCCTTTGAAGAAAATGGTTTGATAGGATGAAAATCCAACGTAGGCTTAGGCTACCATCCAACTCTTGCCTAAAATGACCAACTTTTCTCGGTTCTCTGTTTCGTTGTTCTCTTTTTAGCTATAAATCTTTTATTTCAGTTTGCTTTCTAAGCTCTCTACTATTCGTATTCTGTCGCGCAGTGCTTTCTTGGTGTTTCTGATTACTCTTGCATCGATTTCTGATTTGACTCTTACTGATTCTTAAAAACTAAGAAGGCACCATTCACTTTGGCGCCAAGAAGTCGTAGTTCATCCTATAAAAGTCAGTAATGAGTAGGTACCCCACCGTTCCTTTTTCCAATATAGCATTATAGGAAAAAAGAATACCGTTTTAGAAGCAGAACATGATAGTAAAAGAAGTTGATAAATGAATTGTATATAAATATTAAAGGCAAAGATACAAATTTGGACAATTCTTAGAAAACTTGAACCTGTAGACGATGATCTTGATGGCAATGACAATTTTACTGAAAGTTTCTGTGAGTAGTTTTGGCTTCGGTACCCCATCATACCCGATACCTATTGTAAGCTTCAGGCATAATACCTAATGGTCACAGCTTATAATGGTGTTTCTATTGGCAGAGAAGAATATCTACCTGACTTTTATCGCTTCTTCGTTACAAATAATTTTAGAATGTGTTCGCCTATTATTTTGTTTTAGCAAATAATTTTTTCAATATGATTCTGATAAAACTGTTTCTACTTATATTATTCTGATTTTTTAGGACAAGAATATGATGATCTCATTGAAGAATTTATGGAGGCTGTAGTAAAACGTTTCGGTCAAAATTGCTTAATACAGTTTGAAGATTTTGGCAACTCCAATGCTTTCCGTTTACTCGAAAAATACAGAAATTCTTATTGTACTTTTAACGATGATATACAGGTAACAAGTAAAAAATTCACAAATGTAACATTTACAAATAAATTTGTTTTATAGGGAACAGCAAGTGTAGCAGTGGCCGGTCTATTGGCATCGCTGAGAATCACTAAGAGAAAGCTAAGCGATAACGTAATTGTGTTCCAAGGAGCTGGTGAAGCCAATTTGGGAATTGCTCAATTGTGTACCATGGCTATGCAAGCTGAAGGTACGTTCTTATCTTATTTCGAAAATACCATATAGCCTAATTTTAAATGAAAACTATATTCCAAACTAACATTGAACTTTCATTTGGATAGCAAATTCTGTTCTATTGTGGGTCTCCTTTCCCAAATAATTACACAATTATTAATGTTTACATATTTTTATTTTTTAAACAATTTTTACATTCGACTCCATATTAACTATTTTATATACTTTATTATAAAGACATAGACATCTATTTGCTGCATTAACGTGGAGAGTTACCATTTTTTCCTAGGTTTTTCTGTGTCAATTCCTAGCAACTCGGTGGTGGACAGCAAGGAGCGCAAGGATAACAGCAGGGCACATACACGCAGGGTACCACGCATGGCATACAGCATGGGGTGCAGCATGGGACACAGCACGCAGGAGGGCATGCTGGGGGGCAACAGGGAGGGCAACACATATCTTCAAGTTAATTATTTGTATTTTTCTTAGTAAATTTATTTTTTGGGTTTTTTTTGAAGGAGCTAACTGAGAATTTTGATTTTTTTGGCCGAAAAAATTTGAATGATTGTTTCCACAACAAACAATTATTTCGTGTTGTTAGACAAAGGCTACTTGACTGTCCGATGAGAAACAATGAACATAGACAATGAAAAACAAAATAGTGGTAGATTGTTTGTGTCCTTGTGTCACCTGAGAAAATTGTCACTGACATTATGATGGATTCTGCTGGTTATGAGGAGTTCGTTCACTTATACTGTCCTAGTCATTGCTGTTCTAACTTACAGACTATCTTTAATCAAGTTTGTTTGCTCCTTGTTGTTTTGCTTGTCCTATGGTCATTTTATGTTCCTTTCCAGAGTCTCTGCTACAAAATATGATAATTTTCCAACATAAGTCGCCGAATGTGTATTTTTTAGAAGAAAGGAGATAGTAGCTACATAATTTCAATTTCTGCTTTTTCTTAAGGTACCAGTGAACAAGAAGCCCGTTCTAAAATCTGGATGGTGGACTCAAAAGGTTTGATCGTAAAAGATCGTCCAGAAGGAGGTGTTTCCGTTCACAAAGCACCCTACGCGCAAAATCACGCTCCAATTAAGACTCTCACGGAGGTGGTTAAGCAGGTCAAACCTTCGATTCTTGTAGGCGCTGCAGCTATTAGTGGTGCCTTCACTGAGGAGATTTTGAAGGAAATGGCTAAGAACAATAAACAACCCGTTATTTTTGCTTTGAGTAATCCCACAGACAAGGCTGAGTGTACCGCGGAGCAGGCTTATAAAGCTACCAATGTAAGCTAGTGTTTTACAAACCCAAGTCTACAATAAAATAAAAATGTTATTACAGGGTACTTGCGTATTCGCCAGTGGTAGTCCCTTCGCCCCAGTAACTCTTAACGGAAAAACATTTTCACCTGGACAAGGAAATAATGCGTACATTTTCCCCGGTGTAGGTCTTGGAGTCATGTGCGCTGGAATTAAAAATGTTGGTGAAGATCATTTCCTTATAGCTGCCGAAGTAAGTACACATGACCAATAAATTTTGCGATATTAATCTATCGAAATGTTTATTTAACAAGGCATTAGCCGAGATGGTCACGGAAGAAGACCTCGAAAAGGGAAGCATCTACCCACCACTTTCAAAAGTAACTGAATGTTCAGTCAGCATTGCTACTAAACTTCTTGAGTATTCCTATTCAAAAGGTTAGTATCTTATTCTTAATTATACTTAAACTAAGTAGGTAAAGTATGGAAAGTAAAATCAAATTCTAGCTGAATCGATGATCTCTAAGTTCTGTCCAGGGTCCGATATTCCTGACTTTGAAAATTTTTGGGCTGACAACAATATGCATTGTTCAAAAGTGTATATATATATTTTTTTCATTTCTAGGAAATGCATCTGTATTCCCTGAACCAAAACACAAGGAAAGTTTTGTGCGTGCTCAAATGTACAATACGGATTATGCTCCCGCAATACCCAGCATTTACTCATTTCCCAAACTATAAGCAAAACATTAAAATTAACAATTTTTGTGAGGTATCAAAAGATGTAAAAGTCGGCAGGGCGAGAATATAATGCATTAATTTGTTAATAACCTATTTGGTACGAGTTTATTCACTGAATAGTTGGAAATAATGTGTTGATTACTATGCTGTCATTTACCTTCGTTGATGAGGCACATAAATTAGTACCTATATTATTATAATAATTCACAATAGATAATGAAAATATTGTGCAAAATCTGTGTTATTTGTAAATTGTGTTAGGTGATAGAATAAAGCAAATGAAATGTTATAATTACTTTATAGCCCATGGAAATTTTATTTATAGTTAGGTACCTATTGTTTTATTTGACATAATTTTATTGAGTACCTATTTTAATATAAGAGTGTTGCAAAAAATAATGATGCTTTTCTCTAAAGAGCAACTACTACCTGTACCAGCTCTAACAAACTTTTGGTAATAAGAGATATAGATTTAGCTGATAATTGATAGAAATCTATTACAAATTTTGAGGAAACAAAAAAAGTTTCTAGATTTCCAATCAAGCATGGAGAAATAAACGGACAGGACGGACACTTTTTCTGGCTACCTATCTATAAAAAGAATTTAATTTTTTCTGTAAAGCATCTTCGTTCTGCACTGTGTGTCTACCCATACTATTCATACTAACCCAATATCAATATATATATACAGGGTGTCCTAAAAAGATACCGACAAACTTTAAGGGGTGGTAGGAGACATCAAAACAAGCATTTTTGTTTATATAAACATATGTCCGCAAATGAGCCATTTGGGCTGTAGAGTGAAAAAACTGTTTGATAATTTTATTTTTCGCAATAATTAAATCACTGTTTATTTATTAATTTTGCTTTATTATCAAATAAATTATGGTTTAGAATAATTGTTCAAAATGTTGACCATTTACTTTAATGCAAAGATTACACCGTCGGGTCATTGACTGAAAAGTTTAGTCTAGGAAACACCTGTTCGTAATGAGGAAGATCTGATAGCAAGGAAACTGGCGAGTTGTACCCATGTAGAAGCTATTCCCGGAATATTCCAAAGAGTTCGCGAGTTGAACAATTATTGTAAACCATAATTTATTTGCTATTAAAGCAAAATTAATAAGTAAACAGTGATTTAATTATTGCGAAGAATAAAACTAGATACCAAACAGTTTTTTTGCTCTACAGCCCAAATGGCTCATTTGCGGACATATGTTTATATAAACAAAAATGCTTGTTTTGATGTCCCCTACTACCCCTTAAAGTTTGTCGGTATCTTTTTGGGACACCCTGTATGTACAAAGAAAAACAACAATAAGGTTATCATTATAAAATTTTTGTGAATAAAACGATTTTCTAAAAAGCACGATGACGCAAAAAATGTTTGGATAGTTTAATTATTCGATTTAAATTGGATCGAGTGGTAGATATACGATATTATTTCTTGAATAACTTGAATTAAAGTCAACCACCACAACCACATACATTGAAGAAGCCTTTATAGCAAAGTGCGCATGACAACATAACAAATTATGTGTAAAATGAAAATGTTTATCGAGAATGAAGTTTCAAGGTACCTACTGATACAGGAGAAAGCTCCTATACGGGGTACGTGAAAAGATATATTGTTCGTCGATTCTTATCTGACACTTGCGGTATGAGGAGCGAGGGGGTGAAGTATATACAGTGACCGCCAAAAAGTTTGCAACAAATGGGAAAATATTTTTTTATTAAGATATCAGAAAGAATGTTACGTGGGATCAATCCAGCATACCTATCAACAAAAAAAAAAGCACTGTGCCAGATGTCATGTGACCACAGTTATGGCGGGAAATTTAAAAAGTTCGCCTCTAATATGTGAAAAGTGGGGTTAGATGACCAGAAATCAAAAAATTGTAAAGGGAAAAGTGGTTCAGAATTCGTTTTTACGTCTATGTGTCAATTTATGAAAAGGTACAAGGATTTTTAATAAATATTAATTTTTTGGTCTGTTTTCTGGTAATTTGAACAATATCAAAAACTTTTCGCCAAAATATTGGTTCGATTGAATTTAGAAAAGAGGTTGGATCATTTAGAAAGATTTTATGATAATTCCAAATTTGTTATTTCAAATTTTTGTTTTCTGTAGGTCATTGCAACAAGATCAGAGTGGTCTGAATATAAATTTTTCGTTTTTTACAATTTTTCGCGGGACAATTAAGCAAAATGACTGCACTGGGTTTTTTTTTTGTTATTTTCACTTTGAATTATGAGAACCAAGCAAAAAGTTTTTGATATTTATCAAATTTCCAGAAAACAGGTCAAAAAATTGATATTTATTAAAAATCCTTGTACCTTTTTAAAAATTTACACATAGACGTAAAATCGAATCCTGAACTACTTTTCTCTCTACAATTTTTCGATTTCTGGTCATCTAACCTCACTTTTTACATATTTAAGGCGAACTTTTTAAATTTTCCGCCATAACTGTGATCACATGACATCTGTCAAAGTGCTTTTTTTTGTTGATGGGTATGCTGAATCGATCCCCCGTAACATTCTCTTTGATATCTTAATAATAAAAAAAATTCCCATTTGTTGCAAATTTTTTGGTGGTCACTGTATATAGCAAAAACAGGTGACCATTGGCGTTCTAATGTAGGGTGCCACCAGCTCACATTCCTTCCGAATAACAGATTAAAAGTCGGACTTTAGTTATGCTGATAAAACTGGAGAATCAATTTTGGAGTTGAGAAGCTTATGGAGATACGATAATAACTGAGAGTCTCATCGTTATAAGTCATAAGGAGGTAGCCCTCCAAACCTAGATAGAATAATGTTGACATGCTCGAAACCCTGCTGAGAGTAGGTAACGTCCTCCCTAAGGTACCCAGGTTGGGTACTTCAGGAATCATCTCTGCGCGACTCATGGCAGTTATAGGAGAGTAGGTACCTATATTATATTCCAACCTTGATTTCACATGGGAGTGGTAAAGGCCTGAGTACAGTAACTCAAAAGTAGTCACATAAGAAAAATGTTTGCAGTTTCTTAGTATGAAACCCTATAGTTCTATACGCATTGGCCACGATCGATATGAGGAGTAAAAGAAAACTTTTCATCAGGAACAACTGCAAGATTCGTTGATAAACTCTTCAATATGAAGCCCCCTATTCGAGTAATAATGAAAGTGAGCAACATAAGTTCGCAAAGAGAAACAACGTTGCACTTATTGGAAGTGAGTATGCACATTAATGCCAATAATCAGATTGTTAGAAACCGATCTGGTCGTACCTATGCTTTCTGCGGCAGTGCGTATATGTGCGTAAATTTCTTCAGAAACCTGATGAAAATGAGTGTAGACATAACACTTGCCTTCTATTGTTAAGGGTACCTATCGCACTCGCACACATAACTTAAGAAGGAACAAAGATTAGGTAGTCTGCCCATGCACGATCTTTTAGAGTTAGCCATGTTGGTAAATTCAGAGAAAGTATATTTTTGATCCTAAAGAAAATATATTCTTATGTAAGATAATCACAAACACCTTGGAGAAATTACACAAGATATATGCTAATACCAAATTTTCAACTAGAGAAGGATCAACCTTCTTGAGAATAGGGCAAACTTTACGCTATCCAGATTTCCGAAAATTCACTATTACGTGGTATCGAGTTATAAATGTGACAGAGCTCATGTTAAAAAAATTGCATCTGCTCTGAGTTTTCAAGACAATTTTGAAATAGTTTGCAAACGCGGAGACAATATTCTGATAAGGTCGATGGAAGGGACGGATAATTCTCATAACGATAGCTCATATTTTAGCGTGAGAATGCGAAATTGGGCCTTTTTACCTCTCTTTTTATCTCTATTGACGTCCCCTCTCTAATCATTTCGAAAAGAGAGAAGAAGACAGGAAGTGCCATAGCGATAGGGATAACGGATAACGGTCTCTATCTGTTACAGAATCCCGTCCATATCCGGAGGAGGCCACGCGCTACTGTAGAAGCTGTGAATTTTTGAAAGGACACCCCGAACATGTTTTATGACAAGAGTCTAATCGTAGGAATAAATGAGGATCGTTGCAGTGGGTGGAGAACTCGAGACACTGTTGCCAAATGTAGCTGGCTGACCTTAAACGTAGCGTAATAACTAATATTGCGCCATCTAACATTTATTAGTTTTGAAGATACTCTGCAGTTCTGATGGGGACGATGGGATATTGGGTTTAAATGCATAATTGGAAAAAAACAATTCGAAAATATGTTGTTTTTTATCAACGCTAAAACAAATATTGAAAATCAACAAAAGTACCAATTTTTTTGATAGGACCTTCAACGCGTGTGAAGTTAGCACCCGATTTCCAGCAACGATTTTTCAGGAGAAGCGCATTACCGCCAGCGGTAGTTTAAGGATGGTATAAATTCTAACGTTTTCGACGTCGGCAATGATAAATACATAGGTATAATAAAAGCAAGTTTTTAAAATTTCTACAGAAAAAAAAACTTTTCATCGGTAGGAAATTTGTGTTTTCCAAGAATGTGTTTTCCAATACAAAATTGACTGACAGAAAACATTTTTTTTTTTCGAAAACTAAAAGATGTGTCACTCTAATTTTTTTTTCAAAATAAATGTGTGATAGTAAGCTTCCATTAAATCCAGCAGGGAAAAATTTTTCATCGGTAGAAAATTTTTTATCAGTGAAAATTCGAGAAGGTGTTTTCAAACACGAAATCAATATGACAGAAAATATTTTTTTTTTCGGAAACTAAAAGATGTGTCACTCTAATTTTTTTTTCAAAATGAAGGTATGATCGTAGGCTTCCACTAAATCCAGCAGGGAAAAATTTTTCATCGGTAGAAAATTTTTTATCAGTGAAAATTCGAGAAGGTGTTTTCGAACACGAAACTAAAAGTCGTCCAATCTCGGTTTTATAAATTGCTCGGAAAATCTGAAGTTGTCAGCGAAATAATCGGTACTAATACGAAAAAGACTAAAAGAGGAATTTTTGATGGTGCTTCTTACGCATTCAATTGGCTATTTGGCAAGCCTGATGCCGATGTCCGATGATGCTAAATTTTATGACAAATCGATAAAAACTCTAATTCAAAGTAATAGAAATACACAACTTTTGATGAAACAACAAATTGGCATAATTTCTAGTACGATATCTAATTTTAATTCTAGTATACGAAATTTTAAATCTAATCAAGAAACTCTAAACTCTAATATTAAAATTTTCAACTCCTTCTCAGCAGATACCAATAAACGTATTCACGTAAACAAACTGAAACTTATCATCAGTTCACATATTGCCTTACTCACACAAATATTAGAAGATCTGAACGAAGAATATGATTTATTAATCTCAGCTATAACAATGGCCAGACATAATATCCTACATCCGAAAGTTATAAC